ATTGGTAAACAAATAGCCCTACGATACCCCTCCGGACGAGCGGCTTCGCTGTGTAACGCTTATGTTGGAAGGGCCGGCGGCCGATTGGTTTCGTTGGCGCATGGAGAACAAGATGATTAACGGGTGGGATGATTTTGTTACTAAATTTAAACTTCATTTTGATCCCAACCAATACGTGGATTACTTTGGCAAACTTGCAAAGCTACGACAACGGGGTACAGTGATGGAGTACCAGGAGGAGTTCGAGCGGGTGTTGCAACACGTCACAGGTGCGAATGAAGAACTCTTATCATCTCCTCCAGCAGGAAATTTTCTTGCAGAAACCACAAACCTTGGCCGATTCCTTCGTATTGGCCCGGGAGCTCGAGGCGAAACATGCCACCTTGGTCCAAGCGGTGCAACAACGGCCGTACTCGCAGTCTAGTGGTGGTTTTCCCAAGGTCCTGCCTCAGGGTTTGCGCGCGGCTCCTACGACCCTGCTCTTGCCCACTCCGCCGAAACCCCAGCCCAGCCCGCTGCCCAGCCACATCCGACACCTGACCCCACCCGAAAAAGAAGCTAAGGATGCCAAGGGTTTATGTTATAATTGTGATCAACGGTAGTCACACGGTTACAAATACGGGCGTTTCCTACTTATCTGTGGCGACGATGATGAGGACGAGTCGCCCACCTCCGAGCCTGCCGATGAATTACTGGTCACCGCCAACATATCCAGTCTCAATAACTTCTCAAGACTACAACCACCGCGAGCGTTGCGAATGACTGGCCGTGTGGGGACTCATGACCTTCGCGTCCTCATCAACGGGGGTAGTACCCACAACTTCATTCACCCCGAGGTGGTGGCGCGATTGCAACTCCCACTTATCGCCGTCAATTCGTTTCGGGTTTATGTGGGGAACGGGGATGCCTTACCGTGCATGTCTCAATGTCCGGGGGTACCACTCCTTTTGCAATCACATCTATTCTCGGTTGATTTGTTTGTTTTGCAGATTCACGGACAAGATTTGGTTTTGGGCGTCCAATGGTTACAACAGCTAGGAAAAGTCACGCAGGATTATGCTAATCTCACCTTGGCTTTCACTTGGGACGGCAAACAAGTGCAGCTACAGGGCGACACCATGCCCCGGCCGATTTCTCTCTCCATGTTTAAAGCCTTGTGGCCATCACAGGAGGTGGTCGCTTTCTATGAGTTACTGCCAGTGTCACATGAGGGATCCGCGGCAGCGTTGGAACCCTCAGTCGAGCCCCGCATTCCCGCGGCACTGGTCGATGTTTTGGAGGCTTACAAATCCCTCTTTGACAGCCCCTCCGGACTGCCGCCCCACCGCACCCATGACCACCGTATTTTTCTACAGCCGGGGAGTTTTCCTATCAATGTTCGGCCGTATAGGTATCCACACTATCAAAAAGGGGAAATTGAGCGTTTGGTACGTGAGATGTTAGCCAATGGATTCATCCGGACAAGCCGCAGCCCATTCTCTTCCCCGGTCCTTTTAGTGAAGAAAAAGGACGATTCGTTTCGTTTTTGCGTGGACTACCGCGTTTTGAATGCCATTACCGTGCTGGACCATTTCCCTATTCCGATGGCGGATGAATTATTTGATGAGTTGACACATGCCCGGTACTTCACCAAATTGGATCTACGCTCCAGGTACCACCAGATACGTATGGCGGATAAGGATATTTACAAGACGGCATTCCGAACTCTTGAGGGCCACTACGAGTTTCTCGTCATGCCTTTCGGCCTCACCAATGCGCCCTCTACATTTCAGGCATGTATGAACCATCTCTTTGCGCCATACCTACGGAAATTTGTCTTGGTTTTCTTTGATGACATTCTCATATATAGTTTGTCCCTGGAGTTTCATCGCGAACATCTCCATACCATTCTCGCGGCACTATAGGCACGGGTATTTTATGTGAAACGATCCAAATGTTCGTTCGGCCAGTGCGACATCGAGTACCTCGGCCATATTATCATCGCGGGTGAACTACATGCCGATAAGGCCAAGATCTCGGCCATGGTGGAGTGGCCTACACCCACGACCGCGCGGCAGCTCCGCGGGTTTTTGGGCCTTACCGGGTATTATCGACGGTTCGTTCGCAACTACTCCTACTTGGCAGCCCCTCTCACTGATCTACTCAAAAGGGATTCTTTCCGTTGGTCTCCGGAGGCTACGACAGCTTTTCAACCCTTAAAACATGCAATGGTAACGGCCCCTGTACTACGGCTACCCGATTTTGACCAACTTTTCGTCATTGAAACCGATGCTTGTGCTATGGGGATTGGGGCAGTGTTACTCCAACAGAATCAGCCCGTCGCTTACTTTGGCAAAAAATTGGGGCCTCGACACTAAATACCAGCTTTCACTCTGGATTGCACATGACCCCCTTCCAAGCATTATACGGACGGGAGCCTCCGTCTATCCTGCCCTACTCGTCCGGGGAGTGTGAGATTCCGGCGGTGGATTCCCTATTGACCGAACGGACAGCATTGTTATGGCGTCTACGGGAACACCTTCTTGAGGCCCAGAACCAGATGCGGGCATCAGCTAATCTTCACAGACGCGATGTGCACTTCGAGGTGGGCGACTGGGTGCTTCTCAAATTAAAGCCTTACCGCCAACATTATGTCGCTCGGCGTTCGAATCAGAAGTTGGCCCGACGTTTCTATGGGCCTTTCCGGGTATTACAGCGTGTGGGCAACGTGGCCTACCGCCTTGAGCTGCCTGCCGGGTCTCGGATACACCCAGTATTTCATGTGTCCTTGCTTCGGCCATTCCATGGGGACCCAACTTCGGCCAACCCACTTCCCTTGCCCGCGGAATTGGTCGACGGCAGAGCTCCCTCGCGCCCAGTACGGGTACATGATTATCGCACCACTTTAATTGATGGCCTGCCGGTGCGCCAGGCCTTGGTTGAATGGGCTGATGGAGGCTTAGCTGATGCTTCTTGGGAGCCAGTGGAGACCCTAGGTCGCAAGTACCCCGATTTTCACCTTGAGGACAAGGTGCAATTAGAACCGGGGAGGGATGATACGAGTAGCGACCAGGTGGACGAGGAAGGTACAGAGGACGGGGACTTCGGAGAAACTACGGAAGACACAACAGTTAATGAAGGGAGGGAGGTGACGGTACGACGGGGTGCACGTACCCGACGTCCTCCCGTTTGGCACGATGATTACATTGCATGAGACATGACTGTTATTTTATTAGTATTCATATTATTTTATGTAATGTAGATTTTATTAGGTGAGCAAAATATAAGCTCCTTCGAGGAATTCTTTACGGTTCTTTACCTCGTCACTTTTCTTTGAACCGTCAAGTTAGATAATATAGTTTTAGTGTATGGGTTTTGTTATAAATAGCGTGCAAACCCTACGAAGGAAATCATCTATCAAATAATACAAACCCTAATCTATCTCCTTTGCCTCCTGCGCCCTTGTGCGATCTTCTCCTCTACGCCTCCCCCTTTTCTGGAGTTTGATGACACTCGAAGTCACCCCTACCCGATACTTTCGTATCATATTAATATTAATTTTTTTATTTTTTTATTTTATTTTCGTAAGTAAATGGTACTAATTACTTACCGAACCACATTTATTTTTTAATTTATTTTAGAACACTTATCATTTTTAGATGTATTTTACTTTCTCTTTTATTTTAGAACACTTACCTAATTTATTTTAGAATACTTACCATTTTTTGTTTTCATTTTTAAATGGTGTCATTTGTTTACCGTACCATACAATATTTATTTTCTAATTAGAACACTTATCATTTTTAAAACATTTCCATGCTTGTAAATTATAGTATTGATATTAATTTGTAGTTTTTTATTTTATTTTTGTATTTAAATGTTACCATTTACTTACCGTACCATATTTATTTTCTAATTTATTTTAGAAAACTTACCATTTTTACACGTTCGTGCTTGTAAATTTTAATATTTTTTGAAATAACTAATTAATTTGTATGTAGTTTTTTTGAAATAAATCATTCTAATCCCGCCCATACTTTATTAATTTGTAGTTTTTAATTTTATTTTCATATTCAAATGGTACTGTATTTTATTTTTATGCTATAATTTCCCAGTGCAGGGTTCACTACTATTTAATTTATTTTATTTAATTTAAATACTTAAATGGCGTAACATTTAAATAAAAATGAAAACATACTTAAAATGGAAGAAAAATATTGAGGCAAAATAATTAAACTATCATTTGTATTGTCAACATTTTCCATATATGAGTCTCATGTATGGGCAGGAAAACATTCACCTTTTTATAAAAAAGTAAAGAAATTTATAATTAAGTCACACTCCATATAAACAACATCACCAAATTCCTTTTTATATTTTATAAAAAGGAAATTACCTTTATTTAAAACTTACGTTAATAATAACTCCCTCTGTCCACCATAGGTCTTCCCAGACACTATTCACAAGGACAAACTTTACTCACTTTGTTTGCTCAATTTTACTAGTCATTTCATAACATAATATAGTCTTGTCAACTCTAGTTTTATAGAACTTTTTATTTAGTTTATTATTATATAAATTTTATTTTAAAATTTTACTCCTATAATCAATTAAATTGAATTGAAAATAAAGTCGGTCAAGCCTCGTAACGCGTAATGAAAAGATCATACATGGACGGAGGGAGTATGTTAGATTTTAATTTTTAATACGTTAATTACTATAAATATAACTGTTCGTTTATTATCGCTTTTAAAACTGTTAATACCGTGTGATAAAATTCTTCGTTTATACCGTGTGATAAAACTGTTCTTTTATTATAGCTTTTAAACCATTGTTTAAGATTAATTTTTTAGATTAAGAATAATAATTATCTTTCAGATTAGTAATTAATTACCAATTATAAACGGTGTCATATTATTTGTTCCTTTTTTAAAATGATTACGTGTTAAAACTGATTATTACCGTGTGATAAAAAAGGAAGAATATTTATTATAGCATTTAAAGCATTTTTTAGATTAATAATAATTATTTTTTAAATTAATAATATCACGTTTTTAAAAAGTAATTTTAAAAAAATCATAGATATAATTGTTCGTATTCAAAAGGAAATTGGGACTTACCTTTTTTAATCATTTCCAATTATCTTTTTTGTGAGATTGGGTGTATAATTGAATAAGTTACCATTTTTTTAGATTATTTTTTTAAGATTAATAATAATATTTATTTGTATATATCTACCAAGTGGCTCAAATTAACAACTTATGTAAAAAAAATTCAAAAGATCAAAGTCATAAAAAAATATTTGTAAGATATTTTCCGAGTTTCATCCCACAATTGTCTCAAAAACATTCACAAAATTATTTCTATTATTGTTTTTAAACATTTCAGAATCGAAACAATATTCTTTTAACAGAATCTTTATTTTGGTAGACAAACTCATAATCTTGGAGAAAAAAAAATTATTTTATCAAGGTAATTGATACTCCATCCGTCCGAAAATGTTCTTCCCATTTGACTTTTTACGGTCTCCAAGATTGTACTTTGACCACTAATATCTTTATTTATACATGGATATATTTTATTAAAAATTTGATATTTGAAAACTATATTTCAAAATGAATATATTCATATTAAAGTTATATTGTAATACAATATATTTTTTCCACATATCATAGTCAAAGTTTACAAACTTTGACCAAGAAAAGGCAAATAGGAAGAATATTTCTAGACGAAGGGAGTACAATTTTTAATGAAATATTCAATTTCTTTTTGTAAAAATTTTATAATGACATTTGGTCAACAAACAAATACCTTAATACCTTTTTCTCAAAGTATTTAATTCGTTTCAAGAATTTAAATAAGTCGATTTTCAACAATTATAAACTTTTGTATAACTAACTTTCATTTGTAAAATATTTCACAATCCATATTTTATTTTATTTTATTAGCAATCTCTAACATCAAAGAAACTTAGATAATCATGTAAAACAATAACTTATTATTTCTTGGAACTGTGATGAAGTGGAGGATACAGACGCATTATTTCAAAAACAATTTAGTCAAATGGTCCAAAAAACCGATTTTGAAACCAACCTAGCTCCGATACCAAATTATAACATCCTAATTCATCTAAATCTGTAGCCCCTCTCAGAATAAAGTAATACACACACATATATACTTTAATACGGAGTATAAAATTTGAGAGTTTGATGCGTAGAAATTTGACATGTGGCAATTAAGTATATTCTTATTTAATTACGCTTAAGTTTACAGTTGTCCACTTCTACTACAAAATAGCAGAACCCTTCCCAATTGCCGATTCTCCTCCTCTGTATGCCCTATCGCAGATTTCTTCATCAGCCAAAACTTCTTCGCCAAAAATTCGCTGATTCTTGTGGTAGATCTTCGCCGAAGGAAAGGAAATCCGCTGTTTCTTCGCGTATTCTTCACGGATTCTTCATGTCAATTTCGAAATCTAAAACGTCACAATCCCCTTATTCTTCTAAGTCAATTCGATAACCAGGTTTGTTTCCAAACTTCATATACAATCTTATTCAAATCATAACTTTGTGGATTCAGATTCTGGGCTCTCGAATTCCATACCTATGTCTCGATTCCCCTAATTTTTTGGGTAGATTGATTGATTATGAATCGCCGTTTGATTAAGTCCAAGATTTACATAGGGTTACTCTTTCGTGTTTCTACCCGTAACTGCTGCAATCCAAACGGAGCAATCACTATTCTCCATTTCTTCTTCCGTCTTCAAGCCTCTCTTTCTTAGGTCCGTCGTTCCCTTCATGTTGAGATGTTTTAGATTAGTAGATCAAAGTTAAATTATTGGTCGAAATATTTCATTCTATCCAGAAAAATTGTTGTGTTACTTCACTCTCTCATGGATTTAAACTAAACCAATCATGAACTTGATCATCATATTAGTGAGTTGAACTTTCTTGTTTTACTGGATTGAGTGATAAGCTACGAAGAAAATTAGGTTTGTTACGTTTTCCCAAATTTCAAACTTTTTTCCCAATTATTGATGGATACACTGAATTTGATATCTCCCTNTACACCAAATTTCATATCTTTGCTGTGTGTATCAATCTAACCCTCTGTTGTTTGTTCGTAGTCTGCGCATTCTAAGGCTGAGATTAGCTAGGAAAGGTTGATCAAAGAGGTGTGAAAGTTTCATGCAGTAAGGTATGCATACTCCCATCCCCCGACCCCGTTTGTGTGATTTTACTTGTATGGTGTTCTTGTTATTAAACTGGGTCGATCTTTTGTTTTTTGGGGCCTCAAATCATCAATCTGGTTTTGAATTCATTGTGGTTACAAAAACAGTAGTAAGCTTCATATACTTGGCTGTGTGCGTGTCCATTTTGGATATTTACATACTCTCTAAAGACTGGTCTTCAAAACCAGGAGGCTAAAGTTTGAATCTTTGTTTTGTAGTGATGTTTATGTTTAGCTTACACTTCCAAAAAAAACTTACTTTCTTTTTTGGTTTGTCCTAAAATAAAGTTCCCATTCTATTTAAGGAAAACATTGACTAGACATTATTTTTCTCTTCTCTGCGTACATTTTCACTTTTTTTTCAACTCCTGTTAAACTACGTGAAAAAAATGCGAAGTTTAATAGGGTTCAAAGGGAGTGTTTCGATATATGTTTCACTTTCACACCTATTGAATCTCAAATTAACTAAAGAAATGATCTTCATCCTATTTGCAGAGAGTGTGGACTTGAAGTGCAAGCTGTAGGGATGTGGCTTTCAGGGTAGCCACACTAAGGAGCTGCTGGGACAACGGAAAAAACGTAGGACCCAAATCCGGCTTCCATAACTTTGCTGACGCCATTGCACAACCAATTCCAATGGACAACATCATCTTCGGCAATCCCATAGCGCCAATAAAGGCCCAGTCTGAAAATCAGGAAAGGATTGAAGGGAACCTTGCTTACAGATTCCAAGATATCACTTTCTTCAATGGGTCTATGGAACTAATGGTTGTCCGTAAAAAGAAGCTTCATCCTCTAACAACTTCCTTAACATGACAATTAATTTTGAACACGCTGAAGTACCATTACATAACCTTTTCAAATTGCTAAAGCAGGTTACTCGTCACAAGAGTTACTCCAAAGCTATTGCCAATGAATCGCAGTTAAAACAAAATATGCTTATACTTCTTTCTTCAGACCATTGCTTCTTAAGTGTGAATAACAAATTACCATAAAATGTTATCCTCAAATTGCCTTCAGTTGATATGACATAACCACTTTGTTTTAATAAAATTCATTTATATATTGACTATAGTGTTGCTCAAATGAGTACACAAAAGCGGAAGATAATGTTTCCATATACAGGCATAATTTTCACTGTATATTCCCAGGACTTTTCAACTAAAGTGAATCTTGAAATGTCAGCTGTTTACAACTTCATTTAGAAAAGAATGATAATTTTTATTTTATAAGCATTCTTGGATACATCACTAATCACTATTCCTTAAATAGAATATTAATTATTGTTTTAAATTTGAATTTACAGTGTCTTTGTAGCTTCTTTGAAAGTGGCAGGTGAAGCTCCTTCAGGAAACCGGATTCTTGATGATTGACTTCATTTGTCACCTTTGTAGATATCCATGTTCTTTGGTATTTCACCTTATAACATCTCTTACCTTCTTCTTTCCTTTATAAAAAATTGATATAAAAAATAATGTTCTTATATCCTTTGATGGTTCTACTAAATGCGGATAACATTTTGGGAACCGAAGACAATGTGGCAGCAAAAAAGTGGTTATGTTTAGTTTTGAAGAGGCTTAAAAACGCCTAGGGAAGTATTGTGTACTACTCCTCATCTTCTGGCCAAGCCCAATCATTAATTAGTTTATGAAAACATCTCAAAACTCTATTACGTTCCTTCTCTGTTTGTTTTACTAACCATAAGATTTTAGAGTTTGAGGCTCTAATTTTGACAATTATAGCTTTAATCTTAGGAGTCCTATAGTAGATCTTATATTTTGTACTTATCATTGAGCCTTTATATACGTTTTGAGTCCATCGAATACCATCTAGCTGTCGTATTTGAGTTCAGAGTTATTTGCTTTACTTTATATTTTGAAGAGGTTGCATAAAAAGAAACCTCCTCCAAGTTTACTACACTTATTGCAAAATCCTGGGACATTCTCAAATGAGGAATGTAGGATGAGATCTCTAGGGCCAATTCTAATGTGAACCTATGGAGGAAGAGGCCTAGAAATGTCCCTCTCAATGCAGCACCTAGCTTCTTTAGTGAAAATCATATGGGCTGTTCTAGAGTCCATGATACATGGTTTCCCCAAGGTGCTAGCTACGGTAAATAGTGCCTTGGAATTAATAAGATGGGTAGGTATGTTTTTGAATATGACCCAAATAGGAATAATTGGACAGTCTTTTGAGGAACAGTATTCTGGAGTCCATTTGAACATATATATTCTGATATGGTTAATGTACCAGTTACCTCTCATGAAGAATCTAAGATATTCCTCCTCTTTGCACAAAATGAACTGGATATCATTGTTGGAAAGTCTGCAAAGTTTGAAAAGTTTAGAGAATAGTTTATGTGAACCTGTTGATGAAGAATATGATGAATGATTATGAGGGAGTTTGAGATTTTTCGTGTTATAGTGAGAACTGGCCGGAGTATTTACCGGAAAACCAGAGAAATCCGACCTTCTCTCTCCTCATTTTCATCATTTTATTATATATATATATATATATATATATATATATATAATGTTTTTGTGGACTAAAACATTTAATTGTTGAACAGTCTCACTAGGATCCCTTAGACCTTTTTGATGATCTTAGCCAAAAGGTCAAGAAACGTACTAGAAAATTTATTTTTTAGTAGATGAGTTCCACCACGTTAAAATTTAAACACAACACAATAACAAAAAAATATTACATATATACTTGGCTGGAGAGTCAATTTGACAATATTCACCTTGGTAAGAGATTTTCCTATTTATTAACCTCTTTCCTGTCCTATTTGATGACAGGGTACATGCGGAGTCTTCTTTATTGGCTGGAGCTTGGCGGTACTTTCAACAAAATGGAAATTTCAACGCTTCCACTGATCAACAAAATGGAAATTTCACCAGGTACCGGTATTGGTTTTCCTCTTTTTGTCGGATATCTCCCAAAAAAGAATTGTCTCAATATGAAATGCTGCATTCTAATCAAAACCACACCATTACAAATAGGTGCTGAAGGCCATGTGACATTCAGATTCCACTAAACCGGCTATATTTACCCTGCCAAACGCCACTGACAATGGTTGGTCTTCATTCTTAAAGCCTGTTAATGTCATATTCATTCCTTTTGTACTTATTCACAAATTTTAAACATGGGAATAGCTTAATGCACCCCTGCAAGGTTAGGTTAGGTTCTTGGTAGGGATTTTGTTTCTAACTTCGGGGATTGGACCTGATTTTGGGTTTGGGTTTGGGTTAGGTTCTAGGTTGACTTTTAACTTTAGTGTTTTCAATCAACTTTGCGTTAGGTTTGCGGGTACAATCCGTTGGATTTTAATTTTTAGGTCAGACTCTAGGTCGTGTTTTGAGTTAAGGCAATTGCGTTTTAGTGTCTTGTTTTTGTTGTGGTTCTAAATACTATCAAATTGTTGTGGTTCTAAATATTATCAACCTCAGATTTCCAGATTCTAGGCATTGTGATAAAGCTTGAGCTTGATTGAATTTAGAATGAAAAAGTGTACATCAAGTCCCAATTCGAGAAGGGATAGTCTCCAGATTCTCAAAGGAAAATACAATAAAAGATAATCACATAAGAAAATAACATGACTCTAAGTAATAAACCCACTCCCAGGGGAGTTGGTAACTGCCACGTAACCCACCCACTCAGCCGCTTAGTGGGTTGTTTGAAATGCCCATTAACATTTTGAGCTGCTCCACTTCTGCCGGCCCACCCTTTGCCATCTTCTTTTTCCTTCTTGAATATACCAATCTGATTGGAGGCTTATCACTACTACCCGCCCGGTAAAACGACTTGTCCTCAAGTCGAAAGGAAGGGAATTGAGCTCGCAACAGATCATAACACTCCCAGGTAGCTTCCTCCACTGGACGTTGACACCAAGAGATGAGTAACTCCAGCACATGCTGACCTGCTTCCCATACCCAGCGGTGAGAGAGAACTTCTTTAGGCTGCATGTCAAATTCCCAATCCTTTGTGATGGGGAGGGGAGCGATAGGTGAAGTCGGAACTTGCCCCCTAGCTGGTTTCAGCATTGATACATGAAACACCGGATGAACGCGAGCATCTGGAGGCAATTCCAACTCATAAGCAACAGGCCCCACCTTGCGTGTAACTTTGTAAGACCCAAAGAACCGGGGAGAAAGCTTATCATATCGCTATTTAGCCAAGCTTTTTTGCCTATAGGGTTGTATCTTGAGAAACACCACATCCCCTACTTCAAAAGAGAGTTCTCTGCGTTTTGTATCAGCTTGAGATTTCATTCGATCTTGAGCTTTTTGCAGATTCTGTTTTAAGATTTTCAGCATATCATCCCTGGTTATTAGTTGATCTTCTAACTCAGCATTCTTAGTTTCCCCAGCGATGTAAGGATGGAAGGGAGGAGGGTCACGACCATAAACTGCCGAGAAAGGAGTGGTGTTGATGGCAGTGTGAAACCCAGTATTGTAGGAGTACTCGGCCCATGACAGAAATGAACTGCATTTGTGAGGCTGCTCGTGAGCAAAGCAACGAAGGTAAGCCTCTAAGCATCGATTGAGGACTTCAGTTTGTCCATCCGTTTGGGGGTTGTAACTAGTACTCAGCTTCAAAGTGGTCTGACTGAGGCGAAAGAGCTCCTGCCAGAAATGACTCAGAAATATCACATCCCTATCAGAGATAATAGATCGTGGAAAACCATGAAGGTGAACAATTTCCTTGCAAAACACGGCAGCAACTCCTTTGGCTGTAAATGGATGAATGAGAGGCAAAAAGTGAGCGTATTTGCTTAATCGGTCGACCACCACAAAAATGGTATCAAACTTGTTTGATGTGGGTAGCCTTGTAATGAAATCCATAGAGATGTCTTCCCAGATTTGCTGCGGTATAGGAAGTGGTTGAAGTAACTGTGATAAAGTGTCATACTTCTGTTGTTGGCATGTAAGGCAGTTCTGCACATGGATGCGAACATCTTGTTTCAGCTTGGGGCAATAGTAGTACAATGATATACGTTTGAGTGTCTTTAGAAACCCTCCATGGCCTGCCATCGGGGTACCATGGGCTTCATGCAAGAGTTTGTCCCGAAGGCCCGGTATATTTGGAATTACAATGCGCCCCTTATAAAATAAAGTTTGAGGTACCATTTTGAAACTTGGAAAGGAAGACGCGTCGGTAGACAACCCCTGGATAATTTTATGGGTGTAGGGATCAGTTCTTAAACCCGCCGCCGATCGTCTCTGGTCGCCGCCGCTAGACTCCGGGCACCGCTACTGCTCTGCCCCTGTTGACCGGTGGTTGTCCGGTGTTGTCATTTTATTTTTAATTAGTTTTTTAATTTTTTAAATTTAAAAAAAAGGTGAGTTTTGGGGTTTAAAGTGTTGAGCTTTGCGTCATCTGACCGAAGCATGTCATCTCACCGTAAGGTGTCATCTCACTGGAGTCAATCCCATATATATATATATATATATATATATATATATATATATATATATATATATATATATATACTACCTCCGTCCCGCTATATTCGTCCAGTTTTGACTTTTGTAACTGTTCATTTAAGCACTTTGACTCATCAAATTCTCTCAATGTGTAAGCCTAAATATAGTCATGTGTGATCTTGTTTGATTTGTCTTAACATATAGATTATTAATATATAATTTCTATAATTTTTTAATATACAAATTACAAGATAAAATGGATTAAAGAAGTGCATTGGATGGTGTGCAAAAATGAAAGTGGACAAATATAGCGGGACGGAGGGAGTATATATATATGTGTGTGTGTGTGTGTGTGTGTGTCTATA